TATATATATATATATATATATATATGAATTTTTGCCATTTGCGTTGTAAACATGTAATGAGTTCTATTTCTTTTTTTGTATTTTGTAAACCTTGCCTTTTTTATAACCTTTAATAAAAAATTTAAAAATAAAAATAAAAAATAAAAAACAAAGCCAGGGCCATCCTTGAGGTCCCTACATCAGAGGAAAGCAATTTAGAAATCTTCCAGATGTTGTTTTAGACCACATTTTCTATGGTTGTCTATGATAGACCACACTGGCTAAAATTAATAGAAGCTAAGATCTAAAACACTCTGACGGTTGCACTTTGCTTATTCCTGCCCTAAACAAAATTGTAAGGACTGTGCATTTAGCCAAAACCAGTGCAAAGTTAAAACGAGCAAACATTTTGCAAGGCTAGAAAACCAGTTCGGTGTAGTGTTTAAGACATCGGGCTAGAAACTGGGAGACCATGAGCTCTAGTACTACTTTGGACACAAGGCCAGCTGGGTGACCTGGGGTTCTTCCCTCTTTCTCAACCCCAGGAAGCAGGCAAGCAGGAAAAGTGGAGGGATTTGTTCAGGCAGCCTCCAGCACTCAGAATTGACTCAAATACACCCTTCTCTCCCCCCCCCAAAAAAAGAAAGACACCTTGAATTTAAGCTGAATGAAACTTGCTGCTGTATCAGTTCAACAGGTACAGTGTACTACAATGTCAGCTCACAAAATGGAAAGATTTTGAAAATCAAATCCGCCTGCCTTACTGGTTTCACAAGATTGTTGTGAGGCTTGCATAGGAATAACCCTTGTTCATCAACTGAGCTCCTTGAAGGAATGGCTATTGATTTCTATTTCTGGTTCTCTGTCAGAGGCAGCTAATTGCTTTTCTATTTTTTATGCTGGTGATAACAAAAAAAAAAGATTTCAAAGATAAGTAGCATTCCTTACAGCATAAAAAAGAAGCTGTGTAAAACACCAAAACTTTCTGACTTCTGAAACTTGAATGAATTACATACTTAACTAACTGATTGCAATTATAAAATATGTTTAGCTGGCTACTGAATTAGATTCATGTTGTGGATTGACACAGCTTAGTTAGCCATAAAGTAACTGAATGCACTAGATTCATGAAACATGTTATCCCACAAGAAACTTAAACAAGACCAAGGTTAATCTAGCTTGTACAAATGCATCTGCTGGAATTTCACATGAACTGTTTAAACTTGTGGTTTAATACAACCAATATTTTATTTCCCAGAAATAAATCCTCCCACCTTGATATTAACTCCTTCCTCATCCCTAAGTATAAAATAATATTTGATTATGATTTTTCTTTATATATATTTAAAAGTAGCATGAAATCAAAAAAGAAATGGCAGTAAGTAGAGAAATTGTGATCTTTTATTTAAATGTAGCTAAAATGTTGCTTACAATTTATTTCCTATTATTCTCTTGTAAAAAAAATTATTTAGAAAGATATCTAAAGAGATGTTTTAAGATCGCTTCTGCTAATCTAGTTTTAGATGTTTTGACTCCCTGCCTCCCCTTTTGCTTTCCCAAAGTATCTTTGTTGTTACGAAACCTTTTCTTGGATTTGAAAATGAGTTTATTACAATAATTCCATTTTTTGTTCTTAATGGGGAAAAAATTGAAAAACCTCTCCTTCTCAGGCACATTACTCTAGTTTACATTACATAGTACTACATTTACATTACATAGACAATCTTGATTAAGGTCTTGTACTAATTAATTGCAAAGAATGTACAGTAGGAGAATGTATGAGTCTAAGGAAAACTGTATAAAGCATGATTACTTGTAGAATTTAACACATTCGGCCAATCAGCAAACTTTTCTGAAGTGACTTTACTACTCTAAATCAATAATAGTGTATATCTAGATAAATATGAAACCCAAAGAGAATCAGAATTATTTCAACAAACAGTTTGCCCTCCCAATAGTAACATCGCCAAATTCCATTATATTTTATAGTTGTTTTTAAAGAATAACCATGATAAGTACTTTATTTCAGGACCATGAAGGGTGAAGCCTTAATTCTTCCTCCTATACAAATAATCCTCACAGTAAAACTCCTATTTGCTGCACAGTGCAAGATTTTGCGCAACAACTACAGGTTCCTTCCTGTGGTGAAATGCAGTTTCTTGGAAGATGGGGCAATTTTCATTGGGTCTGCAATATAGGAACAAAGTATATTTTGCTATGGACTGATGTCCTGTGGAAATGCAACTAAGAAAGCAAGAGAAATGTAATCAATAGTGTTTTATGCTCAATCTGCTAGGGTGGATGTCATATAAACATCTTCATAAATATTCCAAGTTAATGAACCAGAACACTCAGAAGGCTGGTTGCCACCCATATATATGTAGTGCTTGAGTCTTATGTACTTGAGGATAGGCAGTCAAAAATATAAGTAAATTAAAAATGAGAGATTTACCTTTGGTGCTAGAAGTGCAATGATCACGCATGAAGTTATAGCTAGCAATATCTATAAAACTTTAATACAGTCCGATATAGTTATATCAAGTCTTGTGGGGAGTTATAACCTTCCCTCTGTGCCTATCTATATTGCAGACTTAACTCAGATGCTGCAGCAAGGAAAAATGCAGAACCGAATTGAGATTCAGTGTTACAAAGAAGGTATTAGCAATTTGCCATTGGATACGGATCACTATTCTCTCATGCAAAAACAAGCAAATAAAGTAAGGCATATAACCGCACCAAATTTCTACTAAACTAGAATATTGTAAAACTCCTATTCTATGCAATAATAAGACATGCAAAGCAATTCAAACATACAGTAATAAAAGAAAGCCTTTTGTTAGTATTTTAGTTTTAGCCTAGCTTTTATATGATTCCACATTTTTCCCATTTTATAATATTTTTCTTTTATTTCATCACTTTTTCTTCTATAAATGGCATGCTTCTTCTGGGCAACTGCATTATTCTCTGGTACTAATAATTAGCGCCAACATTTCTAAGGACCGATCTGCCTAGCTTTGGGATTCTCCCACAATAGATTGATGCTCATGATACAAAGTTAGGTTTCTCTTCCTTCCCTACATTTGCCTGTCTCTGTAAATCAAGATCTCATCCCAGGGATGGCTGAGAGCATCTTTGCTTACCATGATGGCCTCGGCTTGTTTAGAGTCCAGCTCTGATACTGCCCGCCGGAAGCCTTTGGCTGAAGAACTGGAGGCGTTTGGGGTTGGCATCTTGGCTGATCAACTCGCTTAGCTTCCAGCACTGTTTTCTCCTTCTTATTCTGGGTTTTTATAGGGCATGTCTGACGTCAAAGACCCTCTCTGATCCCCCTCTGTCCACCTCCCTCCCCTTCAGCCTCAGGGAGAGAAAAGAGGAGGAGGGAAGAGATGCAGAGGAAGAAAACACTTGTGTCCCATTAAATGTAATTGCCACAAAGATGACAGGCACCCAGTTCCTGCAAACACACAGTTGATTCCCTGGCACCCAAAGTATTTGCTCAGTTATTTACCCTGGCTTTTTACTACAGCTTCCTCTAGTCATATGCATGCTGAACATTCTCAGTGAATTGTCTGTTACCTATTTTCCCTCACGTATTTTTGTGTATATTCCTATTCCAAATATACACATTTTCTTAGTTATTCTTAAGTGATAGGTTATATTGCAAAACAAATTGAAAAGCTGCTTAATTATGTACTAGTTTGTGCAAAGCTTTGGGAGGTGAAAATTAAATAAACTCACATTAAAATGTGAACTAAGTGGATTTTCTCTGAAGGTTAACAGTCCCACCCGATGTTTGAGACTGGGAAAAAAAATCCTACAAAGGCCCCTCAGCAATAGCCAGATAGCCAGATGTTTTCTACTTTTGCTAGGCAGTAAAATAGGGATAAAATGGATGGCTGTCACTGTGGCCCAATGTGCTAGTTTTTCTCTCATCTCAGTTCAGAGAACAATAAGGGCCAGAGGCAGAGCAAATGAGTGAGAAGAAGTCGTTTGTCAAGTCCAAATCCAGAGTGGACAAATTGACAGTGAACTTAGATCAGTGTTTCCCAACATTAGCAATTTGAAGACATGTGACCTTCAACTCCTGGCTCGGGACTTCTGGAAGTTGAAGTCCATACAGATCCTAAAGTTGCTAAGGTTGAGAAACACTGACCTGAAGGAAAGACTGACATGAAGATTCTACCAATTAGTTTTTACCCAGCAGTAGGATGATAGTTTACTGATCAGAGATAGAATATTTAGCTAACTTTTCGGATTCACTGATTCGTCAATTGGTTGAGTGAGAATCTATTGACCAGGTTTGTCAATTTTCCTTTTCTTCCTTTGTTCTTCCTCTTTTCCAGTGCCTCATAATGGGTAGGAGATGTTTTGTAGAATGAAACTTAATTATTTTGTTTCCAAAAAGTGGGGAAAAAACTAGCAGATTGGATAAAATTGCTAGAGAGGCTGTTTTATATCTTCTTTGGAATGGTAATGGAAATAGTAGCAATTTCTTAGAAGTAAGCATATTTTTAATGAATTGAAGTGAACTACCAAGGTGGCCTCCTCATCTTTCCTATTATATAATCCTCAGCATTTTAGTTCCCAGAAGGAAGAATTGCTACACTAGGGTAACATCCAGCTGATATTTACAATCCTTAGAGTCTCTCAATGTAGCTACTAATTTCTTTGCTTTAGTTGCACATAATTCTAATGGGTATCTATGCCTGTCTTAGCATTTGGGACAGTAGTCAAATGTGATAATAGAGAGAGACAAGTTGATAGATATAATCTAAAGAGAATTATGAATGTCACTTTGTTCTCCCAACAGATCCTATCTGAAAAGATGATTAGAGAACAATGCATCAAGGAACTTGTGTGATGTGGTTCCTGTAACAAGCAGAAAAATGAAAACTGCCCTGGGGGGTTGGCTTAGTGGAACCGATCAAATGGGAGAGAAACAGTTCAAACTGAGCTTAAACCCAAATCCAAAAGAGATGAAAGAAATGGCATGATCAAGGGCAACAATATGAATCCTTGGGATGCTTGCTTTGACTTCTGAGCATTGTTTTGGAGATATAAAGAAGGGGAAAATATACCTTCCAGGTGTATGGACATTATAACCTTAACATTCTATGTGAAATGTGCCCATCACTCAAATCCTTTCTTATGGGTTTTGTATACATTTTTGGAACGTGAATAATTACTTTCCAAGAATGTAGTAAGAACTGTCTGTCTAATTCAGGCACTGCCATCGTATCTTTTTGCAGGTGTTTTTCTAAGGAGTTCTAGCATAGTGTTCTAAGGAGTTCTAGCATGGTATAGTGTCTCCTACTTGAGCAGGGGGTGGACTAGAAGACCTCCAAGGTGCCTTCCAGCTCTATTCTGATTGATTGGTGATTGATTGGTGATTGATTGATTGATTGATTAACTGACTGACTGACTGATTTTTCCACAAGTGTTGGACTGCTGTGCAAGACAGATGTAATGGCAAAGAGACATAGATTATTTCCTTGTTTTTTTGCTGTGCATTCTAATATAAAATGGTTTTTACTTTCTCAACCTGCATTTTTTTTTTAAAAAATGACCCAATTCTTCCAAGATCCAGTTTCATTGGGGAATCTGTGGTTCCAGCATCTGGGAAAGGGAGAACTGGCTTTTTCTTCTCCACTTTATCCACACTGGTACACTTCAATCACACCCTGTCTCATTTGCCTCCTTTCAAGACTAAAAAGTGGCAAATGCCACAACTTTCCTCTCAGCAAAGCTGCTTCACCCCTGTGATCATCTTAAATGCTCTCCTCTGAATCTTCTCTAGATCTCCTATATCCTTTCTAGATGCCGTGGACCTAAATATTGCAGATGTCTTCACACCATTGATTTACATATAAGGTACCACTACAATACTGACATCTCTATTTGCGATACCATTTCTTATTACCCATAACATGCTGTTGGGCTTTTATTACACAGTTGATGTACTGTATACTGCTTTTACACCTTCATGAACTGTTTACCATTATTCTAAGATCTCTTTCCCTGTCAGTCACTGTTAACTCTGATCCTATTAGAACCTTACATAGAAAAGAGAGACTATTCCTTATAGACAGTGGTGTCATCCTACCAGTTTAACAATTGGTTCGGTGATTGAGCACTTTGCTCAGATGCATGTACACAGTTTGGAGAAAATTTGACTTCCGCATTACTGCTGGGGAAGAAAACAGCTGAGGCACAGCAATCCTCTCTGCCACAAGACTCAATTGTGACAATATAGGTTTGTATAACGCAGGGGCTGGTGGGCAGGCACACCAGTTTGCTCCCAGCTGATAGTCGGAGCTACCAGTTCGCCTGAACTGGTCCGAACTGCTTATGCAACTATGAAGTTGTTTTTCATTCCAGTACCAGCATCTGGATAGAACTGGTCTTATCCATTGGCCCAAGGACAAAGCTTGACATTTAGTGTAATGAAGCAGCTGCCTTGGTATTAGATGCTGAGTAATTCAGCAAGGGGTTGTGAAATATGCTATACATTGGGTAGTATATCCTTCACCATCAAGTGCAATAGAGGAAACTGCCTGTTGCAGATGACAAAAGCCTTTGGAGAGAGAGAAAAAAATGCTGATTGACAGCTTTGGTCCAAGCAACAAAATATTCCTGGCCAAAAGCTGCTTGACACAGAGTAGAGAGATGAAGTGTACTCTCCATTTTGAGTGTCAGGTAGTATAATATGAATATTGTCCCTTCTTGTTCATAGATGTACATTAATATATCATTTGCCCCCAAAAATGCATGGAGGACAATTACTTACAGATGATGGAAAGAGGAAACAACCAACAGAAAAGTTCATACAGATCTATTCGTGAAGCCCAATCTCCATATAGCTTCTCCTTTCTCCCTCCCCCCT